TTTGAATTTGATTCTTTTATTTCACATGCATAGCCACATGTTTTCAACCTTTCATATTTTACCTAACAACATGAATGTACCATCGATAAAACCAAGCATACCATGACTCTCCAATAGACATAACATCTGTGTTTTCCACATACCATACTCATCCCTACCACTCAGCTTCACAGTGGTAAAGCTTGTTGGAGATAGATTTGATGGGTATGGGTATGTGTATGTGTGTTCTTCTCCAACTTCGAGCGTGACATGTGAATTAGAGCTTGAGCTTGCCATCTTTCTATCTCTTTTTTTCTTTTAATTTCTGTGAATACTACTTCCATCTTCTTACATGTTTAAATAGAAACACATAGAGTTGATTTGTGGTGCTCACATGGAAAAGCAACTTTAAGATTGCTTCCTCCTTAAGTGATTCCCATAATATAATAATGTTTTTAGAAAAGAATATTAATTTAAAAAGTTAATTGCGATATGATTTTTTACTTTGAAATTTATTTATCATTGTATAGTAAAGTCTTAAGGAAAGAATATTTGGAGTGTGGTTACCCCTGCAGCTTCACCTCCCATCATTGGTTGTCTTCTCAGTTTTTCAAATTCATGTGATTATATGAAGAGAAAGAGGGGCTTGACAAACAGATTTTTTTTCTATAAACAAAGAAAATATGGCCCACAAAGATTTAAATGCAATAAAAAAACAAAGTAATCTGATGTTACTTTGTGTACTGATGCAGACGTGAACCGACTGATCAAAAAACAGGGACAAAAAAGGAAAACATGAAAACAAGGGATAACAAGATTGCTTGGAGCATATGCTTTATTAGCTGGAAAAAACTTGTTCTGAAATGGAATTAAAAGTAACGCAGGTCCTAATTTATACTAAACACAAACCAATTTTTGTCACTGCCATCTGATATGTTTTACATGCCTGTGTAAAAGGCTAGCAACCCCTGAGTCTTATTTTCTAAATTAGACCAACATTCTGCTCCTTTATTCAGAAATGGTCACCACCTTTAATTCTTTATCTTCACCTTAAGAATGCTCAGACTTCTTCTCACTATCATCTCTGGGCCACCATTCTCTTATCATTTTTTTTGAAACGACAGATCTATTCTACTTCTAAACTACTCCTTAATTCCACCTATGTCCATGACAAGACTTGAACCCTCAGCCTTTAGGAGGGAGGGCAACACCAGATACCGCTAGGCTAGAAGCCCTATCGTACCATTCGATTTATCATGTTTGTTGTTTTTTTCCCTCCTCTTCTTTTCTAAGCCTTTTGGGCCTAAACTGTCAAAAGATCATCATCGTCATCATTGTTCCTATTAGTCATCTTTCTTTCTTTCTTCGTCATCATTGTTCCTTCTAAATTCTCAGATATCAGATCTGTGTATTTAGTATCATCAACATGTTCATCATTTTAGGTATGCAAATTTGCATTGTTTTGAACATCCTTTTCAGATGTTAACTCATACATCCCACACCTAGCTTTCTTCCTTAAAACCCTCCAATGAGTGCTTCGACTAACAGCAGGGAGCCAGTCACATGCATCAAACGCATCTGCCACATTTATGAGTTTATTAGCATCATACACTTCAGTGCTCTTATTAACTTGTTCAGTTGTTCTTATTTCCATGTATTTTTGCCAAGATGACCATTAACATCCTCAACAATGTCATTACTCTTCATCAGCACAAGAGGTGTAACATCCCGTATATTAAATAAATAAAGGGATAAGAGTTAATATGAATAAAAACCCTAAAAATCATTAATAATTTAGCAAGGTGTTGATTTCGAGGATTTAACCGTAATAATTTTAGAAGTCAGGGGTTAAAAGTGTAAGTTCCGGTGTGGTTTGTAAATATTTATGAAGGCAGGGGCTGCTTGGTAAATTATTGGGACTTAATTTGAATAGATTTTGGGAAACAAGGGCTAAATGGTAAATTTCGGATTCAATTTGTAAAAAATTCTGAGAGCAGGGGCTATTTGGTAAGTTTTGGACTTAGATTGAAAACAAAATTGTGAGGAGGGACTGAAGTTGGATGTTTGGATGGAAGTTTGAATGAACACGGGATTGGCACCAGTGACTTATCTTTCCCGTCTTAAGGTCGTTTCCCCTCAAAACCCTAACCCTAAAATGTGTTAGCCGCCACCTTGTGTTCTCCTCTCAGCCGCCGCCTGGTTACAACCGATCGGCTGCCTCCTAGCCATTGTCGGAGTCAAGAGCCACCTGCCACGCTACCTCAGTTGCCGCCATCGGGTGAAGAATCGTCGGGACGGGTGTGGACGTCGGGCAGAAGAGGCCGAGGGAAACAAATCGCGATTTCGCTGCCATTGTTCCTCGCCGGAGAACGTACGCCCCCTTGTCTCTGTCCTTGCTGTCGCCGAGCTATCGCCGCCATCGCTATATCGAGCAGCGGTTTCGGTTGACGCCTC